GGGGGGGGGGTTGAAGAAATCGAGCACCAGGTTGGTTCATTGTGTTGTGAGAAAGTTCTCTCTACACAGGTGTTTAAATATCATATCTGTACCAGCAAGTACTGGGAGCGTTCGGGGCTACAACAGCAACAGAGTGTAACCTTTTATTGTTTCGTTTGACACCAGCCTTCCGCGGCCAGCCAGGCGAGTCGTAAGAAACTCGAGGCAGTGTTTGGCGGCGTTGACGATGATGACTTGGCAGGAGCGGTTCCCAAGCGGAAACTGGTCAAACTGGACGAGGAGGAGGCGTCTAAGGACGAGAGTGATGAAGCTGAAGATAAGAAACGGATTATTAAATCGCTTATAGAACGTATTCCTACTGCTAAGGAAGAACTGTTTGCTTATAGCTTGGATTGGAGTATTGTAGACCAGGTAGGTGTGTGCTGTTCAGGGTATGTTTTGTTTCAGGTGGAGGTTGTTGCTCTGTTCGCCCCCTTGGACGCCACAGTAGCGGAACATGTAAGCTTAATATAGCTTGCTCAGATTAGTACCATGTAAAACAATGCGTACGTTCTTGTTTAAATGCCCTGTTCGGACTGTGTTAACTGGGAAATCGTAATGACTGTCCGCGTCAAGTTGTCGGAGTGTCTAGCGATCAGGAAAATTAGCGATCTGTAATTAAAGCTAATCTCACCGCAATCTTAACAAATTCTCTGGGCACTGGGCGTTCACCAAAACGCGGCATTTTTGGAGGAAATATTACAAAACAGCTCGTAGAAAGTCTGTATACCCAAGAAGTTTTAGTTTTAAGGTGGCTCAGTGTTGACTGAATATGCGCTTGTCAAGTCTTCTTACTTGCGATTTCATTGGACACTTGGATCATCATGTGATGTAAGTACAGTTCCTATATTTAGTATGTAGTCAGACTCCACGCCAGATCTCGCGCTACTTACTGAATATGTTAGTGTAACTAATTTTGCGTATGTTGTATCTGTAACGTTAATATAGCGAATGGGATCTGGGCGCGAGGCTGTGATCACGTGCACAGTTCAAATCCTAAACTCCTGATTGGTTCATTTTAGGGTCTTGTGGATCGTAGAATACGACCCTGGGTTAATAAGAAAATAATTGAGTACATTGGCGAAGAGGAGCTGACCTTAACAGACTTCATTTGTAGCAAGGTAGGACGTTATTTATTAGTTCAGTAAACTGCAATCCTGGTCAAAAGTAACTTTTCACACATGCGTTTGAATAACTTTTGCATTTTTATGGAGTAGCTGTTTTGATTTTCAATTGTGAGGGTGACACTTCTTGCTTAACAATGTGAAGGTGAGTGGGTGGGTGGGTTGTGAGTGTAGTGAAACCTTTCCTTGCTCAAATAAGGGGAGTGGTATGTATTATCGAAGGTGCAGAGGGGGGGAGGGGGAGTAGTTGTGGCTAAGGGCCCCTCTCCGAGAGAGGCATATCGTTTACGCGATGTCTCGTGTGTGGACTGTGTGGAAGCAGTGCAAAAAAGCGATTAGAACAGAGAATCATGATTTCTCTTTTCATCTGTTTTGATGGTTTAACAACATTCGTCGCGGGTGGAGGTCAGGCGCCCGGGGAAAACAAACCCATAGCCTTTCGACCTTAATCTTTTGGCTGTAAGTATTAATTTTGAGTGTTTTTTCCTCCAGGTCATAGCGCGCAGTTCGCCAAAACATATCCTGGAGGATGTGTCCATGGTTAGTAAAAATGTTTGTACTTTGTACGTTTTAGGATCAACAAATGTTGTACCGTTTATATAGGCGGAGATAAGAAAGTACAGCAAGAATTATTAACCCAGTAACTGTTTTCATTTCGTATGCATTTTATTGTTTTCACAACTATTCGCGTNGGGGGGGGGGGGCGGAGTAGTTGTGGCCAAGGGCCCCTCCCCTAGAGAGGCATATCGTTTACGTGATGTCTCGTGTGTGGAAGCAATCAAACAGAGCGATTAGAACAGAGAATCACGATTTCTCTTTTTACCTGTTTTGATGGTTTAACAACATTCGTCGCAGGTGGAGGTTAGGTCCTCGGGGAAAACAAACCCATAACCTTTCGACCTTACCCTTTTGCCTGTAAGTATTAATTTTGAGTGTTTTTCCTCCAGGTCATAGCTCGCAGTTCGCCAAAACATATCCTTGAGGATGTGTCCATGGTTAGTAAAAAATGTTTGTACGTTGTACGTTTTAGGATCAACAAATGCTGTACCGTTTATATAGGCGGGGATAAGAAAGTGCAGCAAGAATTATTAACCCAGTAATTGTTTTCATTTCGTATGCATTTTATTGTTTGCACAGCTATTCGCGTGTCTAGACAACAGAAAAGTACACATGCAAACAAAACAAGAAGCCATGCAATGTATACCTCGTTCTATAAACGTATGCAGACAAGTGATACGTTTTTTAAAGAAACGCTCGTGAAAACAAATCAAACTACACACGCATACCATGAAACGCGTTTGCAGATAAACTAAAACTACGTGTGCAAACAAAAAAGAACAACCACGCAATGTATGCTTATTCGAGCTATTCTTCGGAAATGTCAGTGTCTGTGCGTGATTCTGATCATAGCAGTGAGAGCGGGAATGTTTTTCTCGCAGGTGTTAGACGAAGAAGCAGAGGTGTTCGTGGTGAAGATGTGGCGCCTTCTTATCTACGAGACAGAAGCCAAAAAGCTGGGGTTGGTCAAATGATCCTGTTAGATTACTGTCTTTTCCTTAATTCTTATTTGTACTTTCCATCTGTGTACATGTGAATGCCGTTTAGGGTTTTACAGACTATTTAAATAATGTAAATACGCTCCATTGTCGCCTATCCGTGGATAGCAATTCTTTCACTGCCAAGGTCTTCATCGTGTAGTTCATTAATAAAATGGTGGAATTTTCCAAACAGCGTTTTCCCGTGTGACATTGGTTAGCTTGTTGCTTCTATTTCAATCATCTCCTGTTAAGAAGGTGT